AAGGAGCTAGAGGGGAGGAAAGTTTCACCGGCAAGCTCCGGCCGGAACCCCACCGGATTCTGCATTTCGCGGTGGCCAGTCCAACGAAGAAGACGACGGTCCAGCCGTCCGATCGCCCGCCACGTCATCCGATCCCACGCGCTACAGCGCGACACGTCACCACCTCATTAATCTAGTAGGCGCGCCACCTCAGCGTTTGACCCCATGTGCACCAGTTCGATTCCTGGCCTGTGCATTTTTTATTTTTATTCCACTTTATTTTCATTTGCCTTTATATTCATGTTCTTATCTTATTCTTTTTATTTTTCTGTTTTATATGCTAACTTCAAAAAATCATAAAAAATAGAAAAATTAATCTTTTTAATCCAAGTTTTTCCCCCCTGACTCTTTAGAGAGTCTAGAATTTTAGGAAATTAAGAAATTTGTAATTCATGCATTTTAGAATTTAATTGTATTTTTTGCATTTTTATTGGTTTTATTTTCAATTTGTTTGACATGTGTTCTTTCTGATTTTATTGTGGATGATTGGTGATGAATTTTGTGTTGATTCCTTTTGGGCTAGTTATATTAGATATGCATGTACCCACAGTAATTTTATCATATTTTTGTGAGATAATTTTAGGCTAGTTTGAGCATTAAACAATAGGTGGTTTAGAATTTGGGTTTTAAGATGATACCTTTAGGTTTAGGGCATAGTTTTAGGTCCAAATGAACGGTTAACCCCCTGGTTTTTTGTATGAGAGATTCTTAAGAGGTCTAGAAACCCTTAGAATTTTTTTTTAGGATTTTATAGTCCCTTTTGGTATTTTAAGTAGAATTAGTTTTAGGACTAACTTCTAGGTGTTTTTGATGAACTAATTTGACTAGTTTGTTTCAATAGTTCCCCTTAGACTAGGGTGGTGTTGCTTTTGAGCTTGGGTGATCATGAAGACCAATTGAAGATGCTTTGTAGAGCTTGAAGGAGCTTGGATGTGAAGATTCTCTCATCTCGTGGATGCTTGTCAGGAGCTTAGGGAAACTAGGGTTTTAGGAAGAGCATTAGACTAGTTTTGCTTCTTTCTTCAAACATGGAGTATCTTGTCCATCTCCATTCTATCCAATGACATAAAGTCCTCCTTGGGAAGCTCCATATCTCCTTATGAGGGATGAGTGGTATGCCCAAAAGAGTAGAACTTTGAGGATACCTTTCATTTGCAATGTTAAGTTCTTAGTGATTTCCTTTGGCTGTCATTAAGTTTCTTAACATTATAACCTGATCTTGTTGAATGATTCTACCTTGGAGGTGCTTGTTGAAACTTGGTAAAGGAAAAGATGAGATAGCTTGTTGAATCTAGGGTTCTGTTTGCTTGTTGAAGCTAGGAGCTTGTTAAGGTCAGGAGCTGGCTGAAGCTGTTTACAGGCTGGGGTTTGAGCTTGCTTAAGCTGGGAGCTTGTTGAAGCCTGGTGTTTGTTAGAGATTGAAAGTTTATTGAAGCTTGAAGATAAAAGCTATCAAGATGAGGATGAAGTTGTTGTTGTCAACTCTCTGCTGGTTAATCATCTGTTGCTGTCAGAGCTGCTGTTGGCTGTAGGAGTTTGGTGGTGCTGCTTGGGTTGCCTCCTATGCTTTGGGGTTTTGTTTCTCTGTATTGTTTGTTGGCTTGTGCAGCTTGCCCCCTAGGTTTGAAGTGAATGTTGATTCACTTTGCCTGTTGTTTTCCCAGGTTCGAGGTTGAGCAGGACTCCCTTGCCTCGCTTGTATTGCTACATTGCATGCATTTTACTGTATTTGCTTGCTTCCTTTTCTGTTTATCCCCCTAGGATCTCTGATTTCCTCTGTGCAGGAGGGAATTACAACAAACATTAGGATTCTTATCCATGCATGACAACATTAGGTTAGTTTTTATTCCCTTTTCAACCCTAGGCTTTTTAGAGCTTCTTTCTCTTCTTATCTCAAAACAACTCAAAAATACAATAATAAGGTTAATCGATGTCGTACGTTACGAGCCTTAAGCTATTTGAGAAAGGGTTGCTGGAGAGCCTCTTTCCAGTAGTCTGGCTGCTTAGTGTAGCACCCTTTGGGTGACACGCGACGTAGTCACTCTCAAATCATAGTCTCTAGTGCGTCAGAGATTGCAAACAAACTAAAAAACACTTCTTTCGTAAAAGATTCAAAACAAACATCAAAATGTCATTTTTGTCCGCTTGGACTCTTAATCAAGAAAAACCCTTTTTGAAGGTAATAAAAAACAGTCAGACAAGCTTGTGTCTTCCGTAGCCCGAACTACGTTTGCTCTGATCTTTCATCCTGTATGAAAGTACGTAGGCATAGGATGCCGTATCCTAGCGAGCAACCTTCCCCTCCTTTCCGTAGGTAGGCGAACTATGTTGACCCTGATTTCTCGTTCCAGACGGGAATACGTAGGCATAAAGTGCGATACTTTGCCGAGTCATTTTCTTTCTTTTTAACCCAGACCTTTAGTGTAGATAGAATAACAATCCGTACTAGAAAACAAGCGTGGATCCCGTCGAGTACGGCAGACGTGAGGGGTGCTAATACCTTCCCCTTGCGTAATCGACTCCCGAATCCAGGAATTTGGTTGCGACGACCATTCCTTTCCCGTTTTGCTTTAGGTTTACTCTGAGCGTTTCCTTTCCATCCGTTGGGATAAATAACGCACGGTGACGACTCTTCTGTCATAGCCGGCGCCGATTTTCGCAGTAGCGACACCTAGAACTCATCCAGAAATAGACAGGATGCCTGCTCTGATACCAATTGAAATCATGGTATATAGATCTCAGATGTCCCAAGGTATGTAGAGACATTGATCTGTATAACTGAACAAGGCCAAAAACAAGAGCATCCAAATACTGTAAATTCATTACAGTGTCATGACAGATGTTTCAACATCTGTCAAGACATATATTTCAGAACATAAAAGCATAATGAATTTAACATAACAGAAAGATAAATAACACCAAGATATGATGACCCAGATCGGTGAACAACCACACCTACATCTAGGGGCTACCAAGCCAGGAATAAATTCACCATTAGTAGTATTAATTCAGAGTTAAACTCCCCCATTTACAACTCCTCACTTAATCCCTACCTAGTGCAACTTCTACCTAGAAATCACCATTTAGATACGAGAAACCCATCTCAATTCCCTAAATTACCTCAGTGATATCTAACATTCACAACCTTCAGTGACTGTATCAAACTATTCAATTGAAAGACACCCCTCTCAATACAATATTCAGTCAAGATCCTTGACTAACAATAATGCTTGAATTTGCTTAATAGTTTCATCCATGAACAATATACAATTCATTATCTACAGGTTTCTAAATATGTAACACTATGTCTACCATAATGTATCAAACCTGATACAAAGGGTGACTTACAATACAAGAAAGTCACACGACTCTCAAATCCTAAAACCTTATTTCACTATACAAAAGTCTTAACAAGGAATCCTATTTTTCTTTAGGTCTTGGTCTTCCTTTTATAATCTTCAGCATACCATGGGCTTCAAAGTCTCTGTCCAATCTTTCCTTGATCAATATTGATTGCACCTTAAATCTTGGAACAAATATGCAACAAACCTGCTGTATCAGACCAAGATGTCAAGTCCTCAAGATAGGACATCTTGTTCTTTACAATTCTTCTTGTTAGAACATCTGGTGCAACATCATATTTTACCAAAATTTAGTCAAATCTTAGAGCCTTCACCTCATAGGATCAAAAATTTTATGTGGCGTCTGTGCAGGAATTATGTGCTAACTAGAATGAGATTAAAAGACAAAGGTGTTGATTGCCTTACTAGTTGTGGTGTTTGTGGGAGGGAGAGGAGAATTATGATCATTTGTTTATGCAATGTTCTAAGAGCATTAAATGTTGGGAAAAAGCGGGTTTGTGGGCTAAGTTGTAGCAGTTATCGAATAACGAGGATGCTTTTGCTATTATAATCTTTTCTTTTTTACAAGGTTCAAATTAAGATCAACAAGCGATGTTCTCAACCACACTATGAAGTATTTGGAAATGCAAGAATAATGTTATTTGGAACCATATTGAAGAGTCCCCAAATTCCATTTGTCACCGCGCTTCTCATTTAGTGGCAGGATGGAGAAATGTCCAACAGATCAGATCGAGTCTTACTGTCCAAAATCAAGTGGTGCATGATTCCAAGTGGAGCAAGCCTTCAGCTAGGCGATTTAAATGCAACATCGATGATTCCTTCTTAAACAACAAAGTAGGAATGAGTTCTTGCATAAGAGATGAATAAATGGATGTTTGTGGCTGCCCGTACAGTGTGGTTATCGCCTAGTACTAAAGTAGACGTGGGTAAAACTTTAGGCTTTTTGTACTCTATCAAGTGAGTTCACGAGTTAGGCCTGAACAATATGGATTTTGAGTTAGATGCTAAAAATGTAGTGGATAGTATGAACATTCAGAATCTTAATAATTAAAATTTCGGTGCTATTTCAAAGAAGTGTAACCACTTATTAGCCATTCTTTTCAAGAACTCTCATATTAAGTTGTTAGAAGACATGCCAATGAAGTTGCTCACGTATTACTTCGGACAACTACATCTTTTACACTTTCCAAAATTTTAATGATGTACATACGTACATCCAAAATCTTATTATTAATAAAATGTTATGAATTTTTCCGGTAAAAAAAGAAAACAGAAATAAAACATCTAAGATGGTGCGGTTTACTCGAGTGCACAGAAACTCATATTTTTATTTTTTGCCGAATAATTTTAACGACAACAAATACTATTGCTAAAAGCAATCATTAAGGTTAGGTTTTTACCCCACTTGCCCGAACCGAACCTCACGTTCGCAGAACCGAACCTCAGCTCCGGAATAATCCGAACCTTCACCACATCAAAACAATAACCAAACCAAGAGAGAGAAAATCACCTCCTTTTCTAGAGAGAGAAAAAACCAAAGAAGAAAGAAACTGATTCTTTATCTAGAGAGAGAAACTACTCAATTTCTAGAGAGAGAAAATGGTTCAGGTCGCTAAGAGGAAGAAAGGAAGGCCGTCGAAGGCGGATCTAGCTCGCCGCGCCGCCGAAGCTCAAGCCTCCGCAACGGAATCCGATTCCCGCCGTAGCCTCCGCCGCAAGAACGTGAGGTACAATATAATCGATTACGACGGTGATTACATCGACGACGAAGAAGATGAGAGGAGGCGAGAGAAGAAGAAGCTCAAATTGATGACGAAGCTACACCAAGGGGAACAAGAACAAGAATCGGAAGATCACGCACCAATGGAAGAAGAAGAAGAGTGCAATGAAATCGAAGGGGAAGTTGAGAACGAAGAAGAAGAAGAAGAAGAAAAGCATGAAGAAGACGGTGTGGTAATAGTGCTTAATTTCACTGTTTGTTAGTGTCACTCAAATACTCTATTTCTATTTTCTCTCTCTAGAAAATCAGGAGAGAGAAAATCTAACTAACATCTCAACTGTCAAAACTACCTTCTACAGATTCTGATCTCTTCTCTCTATCTTCTCTCTCTATATCTATAGATATATAGATATATATTATTTATTATTAATTTATTTATTAATACAATAAAATAAAATTCCTAGGGCACTATTTTTATCTGAGTCTATGATTTTGCTTTTTTGGTAATTATCCAAGTCTATGTTTTATGGCTGTATCAGGTTTTGTATTTTCTATATATATGTATTATGTATATGCAAGTGCAATTTTGGGATTTTGGATGTAATTAATTGTGTATTTTGTGTGGATTTGTTTATAATGATGACAGATAAAGGGAACAAAAGTGGATTCAAAAGGGCTCCACTCAATTTCTGTTTCAGGTTTGTATGATTTTACTGATTAAGGGTGCAAATTTGTCTTTTCAATTTTAAAAGATTGAAAAAGGAAAAGTGATATGTACTGAAAGGGTGTTGAAAGTTCTGTTTCTGCATTTTATCCTTGTTGTGTTTGTGAAACTTTACTATCTGTGTTTAATCTTTTGTTGGTAGGAACTCCAGTCAATCATCCACATGGGATTCCGTTGCCCGATAGGAAGATATTGGAGTTGATCCTTGACAAGCTTCAGAAGTATGTGTTTTGGTTTTGCGATTCTCGATTTTTGTTTTGTTTTTGGTGTTTATGATTGATTATCTAAATGACAGCATAATGGTGTATGTTTTAGGGTACTGTTTTATTTGAATAATGGCGCGTGTGTGTGTTTTAGGGTACTGTTTTATTTTTTGATGATTCGGTACTGTTGTGGGCTTGAATGATTGGCAGGAAGGACATATATGGCGTGTTTGCGGAGCCGGTTGATCCGGAAGAGGTGTGTGGAATTTTCTTCATATGAGTTGGTAATCTTGCTTTTGGAAGACTCCTTTGAGTTGGAAGTTCAAATTCTGTTTTAACATGCAGCTTCCAGATTATCACGATGTGATTGAGCATCCCATGGATTTTGCCACGGCGAGGAAGAAGTTGGCGAACGGATCTTATCCTACCTTAGAACAATTTGAGGTATACAAAGCTGTTAATGAGTGGTAGTTTTTTTTTCTTCTCTTTGAGATTTTGGTTATTTTGCGATGGAATTGATGTTGATTGTGCTCTTATGTAGAGACATTACCTGAACTTGTTAGCAACAGTTTGGCCATGCATAGTTAAATACTTGTTATGCAGACAAAACATTGAAATGGCTAATTCTCATTTTAAAATAGCAAGGGGCATCTTTAGACAAAAAGATACATATTTTAGTATCTTATTAGTTAATGCATCATCTTATGTTTATTATTTTGTCCTCGAGATTATTGACTTGTCAGGATTTATGAATACATACTTGAAATGACATGATGCTGTTGATAGGAACAGGAAATTCAATAACAGGGTTTATCTAACAGATGCATTGTACTTTTGAGGGTTTCCAAACAAACTTCCTAGAGGAGTGTAATATGAATAGAATAATTTGGGATTTAGTGCTTTATATGATTGTATTTTAGACTTAAGAAACTTGTGTTTTCACCCAATGATATATTGGATTTGAGCAATGGTTGTATAAATAACAGGATCTACCTTAACCCAAAAAGTGGAAGAAAGTATTTCCATTTCATATTTGATTGTTTCTTGACTGGCAATGAATTGTGACTGTCTAACTTGTCATTAATATTGCATAAAGCTCTTAGGGATGTAGGATCTTAAAACAATTTTATCCCTGCACTGTGTTCTTACTTAAATTATCTTATGAGTATGAGATTGTGAAACGTTTTCTAGTAGTAACAAATGATGTCTAATTATTATTAGCATCATTGTATATTTATCTGTATATCCTTCCATGTAGATACAAGATATCCGTTGTCAAAAGTCTAAAATGCATACAATATTTTTTGTATAGTTTTTTGTTTCTGGCTTCCTGTTATTTGAAGGTGTTAGTTACTCGGGCGATAATGCCTGAAAGATATGATATATTGGATCCTGGGTTCTAAATATCGATTGCCTATGAATGAGTGGCAGTGTCTTTACAGTGAAAATCTTATTATTAGATGGTTATAAAATATTGTAATTAAGTCGTTGAGGAGTTCCCTGATAACACGGTTTAGGATTCATGAAGTACGATGATTTATAATGATTTTTAACAGACATTAAGGCATCATTTTTCTCTCTAACAAGTATGGCTTTTCTTCATACTGAAAATTTTTAATGCTTTTTGATCAATGGCAACTGTAATACATGGTATTCCAGACATGTAAGAATCAACTTGCATCTCTACTAGATTCCACTATTGCATAAAATTCCAAAATTTTGCTTTCTTTATGTTGTTTTTTTGTTCCTCTCTAAATTGTGAATTACTTCCATACAAACTGCAAGACAAAAGGTTTTATTGTTATCACACTGACTTGTGAATGGAATTATTGAATGCAGAGTGATGTATTTTTAATTTGCTCAAACGCAATGCAATACAATGCACCGGAGACTGTATACCACAGACAGGTATAAAGCTCAATACTTCTTTGTGTTCTCTTACGAACAAATGTGGCCAGACCAGCCATTGCTTTGTTTTTTTACCCTGTATTTGCTACAGGCGCGAACAATACAAGAACTTGGCCGGAAGAAATTTGAAAAGTTAAGGATTAAATTCGAACGTACTCAGGTTGAGCTAAAATCAGAACAGAAAACACAGTCTAATTCTTTGGCTAAGAAGTCACTGAAAAAGCCACCAGGTTGGGCCTCTCAAGAATCTGTTGGCTTTGATTTATCCTTTGGAGATGTACAACGAACTTCCTATCCAATGCAAGGTGTTAATAGCTGTGAGAGGCCTGCCACCATTGATGGTATTGTGGAGGCAAATGCTTTCTTTATTGATGCAAATCAAGATAAAGCTGAAGATGTTATGTCAGGTATCTCAAAGAAGTGAACATGCTGTATTATACCTTTCGTGTATGATACTAATGTTAGGATCTGGTTATTCCATTTTGATTATTTTTTCCTTTGTTCCAGGGAAGAATATTCTGTCTAAGATGGGGAGGAAGTCATTTGTGCTTGATGAGAATCGCCGTGGATCTTATAATATGTCTAATCAACCAATCACTAGACCAGATTCAACATGTATGACCTTTGAGAGTGGAATGAGGCAGCTGGTTACTGTATGTATCAAAAGGATACAATTTTAATTCTTGCATAGTTGGTTTTTTTCTACTTGTAATGTTAACACATTATAACTGTTTTTTGGATACAGGTTGGTGTCCATGCTGAATATTCCTATACTAGGAGTTTGGCTCGTTTTAGTGCATCTCTAGGACCCATTGTTTGGAAAATTGCTTCCCACAGGATTCAACAGGCACTTCCTGCCGACTGTAAATTTGGTCGTGGCTGGGTTGGGGAGTATGAACAAATTCCAACCCCAATATTTAAGCTCGCTAATCATCTACAGAAGGAAACTAGTTTGATTACAAAGTCGCATGAAGACAAAAATTGTAAGGACGTGGAACCTAAAACTGAAAATTCTGTAAATGGAAGGATGGTTGAGGGAAAACATTTTTCAGATTGTCTCGCCAGTGGGCCTGCATTCGAAGGAAATCCTTCTATTGGTTCTGCTGGAGTGAAGCCCAATGCTTCTCCCCCCAACATCCCAAATCAGCATAATTTAGGCATACCTGAGAATAAGACTTTGAAGAAAGTGGAGCCGAAATCTTTACCCTTAAGTAATCAAAATATTCCTACAACAGAGTCTAAGATCAAAGAGATGGCGCCTAGGAACCTGAATACTTTACCATCTACAAATATCAAGCAGCCAGATACTAATGAAGTTGTCAGTGGAGAATTGCCTAATGGAAAAGTCATGAATACAAGCTCGAATAATCGGTCAACTCATCCATCATCAGATAGTACCTCAAACCAAACAATCAGAGCAGCTCCTTTTCTTTTCCGCGGGCAGGAGCAGGGTTCCAGTGACCCAGTTAAGTCAATGAGAATGTTCACAGAAGAGGCTCGAAAGCCGCAGACTTCTCATCATTCACCAGTTGATACTCTTCCGCAGACACCATCAATTCCATCTGCCCAAAGAGAGGCCTCAGGCAATGCTTCAGCAGCGGCTGCTCAGACATGGATGTCTTCAGGGGCAGGAGGGTTTAAACTAGAACCTGAGAATTCTGGTTCATCCAAAAATCAGATTTCTGCAGATTCTCTTCACAACTCAACAAGAGAGTTCCATCAGCATATTTCAAGAATTCAGGGAGAGTTTCCTTCTGGTGGAATGTCTCTCCAGTCTAATAAGAACAATTTTCCATTTCATTCATCTAGACCTCAACCTAGTCACGTAAGTGCTGTTTCACAGTTGCCCAACCGACCTAGGATTTTCCCTCAATCAACATCCGCGGACCAATCTAGATTTCAAATGCAGACCTCTTGGCAAGGTCTCAGTCCTCAAAGCCAACCAAGGCAGAAACAAGAAACTCTACCGCCTGACTTGAATATTGATTGTCAATCTCCAGGGTCACCTGCAAAACAATCTTCTGGTGCTGTTGATTCACAGCAACCAGACCTAGCTTTGCAATTATGAGGAGTTGTTTGCATCATGATTTGGATGTTTTGACTGGAATTTGACTAGTGGGATTTGCATCTCCTGTTATCGGATGCTGAATTTTGATCCTAAAAGGCTTGATTAAATGTGAGAAAGCAAATAGTTTGCCTGGGTCGGGATTTAGCACAAGATGGTCCTGAAGCAAAGTGAGTTTGAAACTTCAGAAGACCTTGGTGGACATGTATAAAAATAACCCAACGACATGCCATCTTTTCCAAATCACCAACCCTGGGCAGCAATGTCTGTGGCCACTCCCCGGAGATTAAGCCATAGCAAAGCTGTCTGTCAATTGATTATGATCAGCAGGTAGAAGACAAAAAATGTTGTTGATGCCTTGTATATTGTATACTAATTGATGAAATTCGATTGCCTAGATATTTAGTACTTTGTACTACTGCTACATCTGAATTAGAATTGGTGGTAGTGCATCATAATTATGTTATTAATTTGTACATTTGATTTACTTTTTACTAATGGAAAACCATTGCTTGCTTCCTGTCTAAATTAACTCTATTGTGTTGCTTCAATAAACAAATTATGCTTTAGTTCTATTCAAATTATATTAAGTTCTTTTCAGAATAGCATTCCAACAAGAGGTTAATTATATTGTTTATGCAAACACTTCTTGACACAAACATATATAATGATATAAATGAAATACAAAGTATGAATCAGTTTTCATCTAATATTTCCAAGCTGTATCCTACATAGAAATCAGAATTCGGGTAAAGAAGTGGAATTATAAATAAAAAACCAAAATCGTCGTCCACCTCCTTTATGTTAAAACTTCAATCTGGGGCAAATCATGGTGACATAACTTACCATGATTTTGTCAAACTCAGTGCAAATTCAAACATTATGCATGACTAAACAGTCGAAAGGGCTTATTAGCTTGTGTTAATGGAAAAATCTATATATATATATCCTTAGATAAACCTTTCACTATTGTTTGCTCTTGGACTTTTTTGCTTGGTACTTCTTTCGATCTCTTAGCATACAGACATCACCATGACATACAAAGTCTTTGGGTTCAGAGGATTCAGAGAAGCAACAAAAGAAAAACAAAGTCATTACTGCAAGAGAAGGCAAAACAAAGTGGCTTTGCTGAATCTGAATTCATGATGAATGATTATATATGTATGTGAGATATGAACATAAACACACATTTTAGTATGTAGTGGGAAACAAGTAACATAAGAAAAATATTAGAAATAATCTTATTGGTCAAAGATTGAAGATACTGTCTGTGTGACAAAGAATCAAAACACGTCTTGTTTTTGTTGACAACTTGTCACGTACAATAGTAGTTACCATGAAACAAGTTGAGTTGGCATGGTAGTGTGGAGTTGAGGAAGCTTACAAGGAGTGTGTATGAATTATGAACCAATAGGTACACATTCGTCTAGTATTTGATCCCTGTCAATTATATTTTGAGTGACAGCTCATTATATGAGCAATTACACGTTTTAAATAAATAAATAAATATATATATATATATATATATATATATATATATATATATATATATATATATATATATATATATATATATATATATATAATATATATATATATATATATATATATATATATATATATATATATATATATATATATATATATATATATATATATTACATAGAAATAAAAGTAGCGGTAAATCATCGAATTCAATAAATATCTTTTGATTTACAAACAGAATTGCATAGTAATAAAAGAAAATATAAATTAGAATTCAAGTAGATAGCTGAAATAGAAAAAATTTAGATGTTTATGTAATACGAATGTATTTTTAAGTTGAAAGGGAGATTTTATCATACAAGTTAAAAACCATAAAGAACCAACATAAAAATAAAAATAAAATATGCGATATGAGAATATTGTGGTGAATATGATGGAAGATTATGCATAATAGAATTATAAATGACGGATAAAAATGCATTTCACTACAAAATTGTCTTTGGGTTTTTAGAGTAAGGCTAGTACAACTTACATGGTCAAGAGATGTTAATATAAGAGTAAATTTTTGGATATTTATGGAAGTTTGTGACAACATGTATTTTTACTATATTGACAAAATTATCCTCGCTTTTATTTAATAAAATTTTTAATTCTCTTTATTAATATTATACCTTAATTTTTGTCACCTTATTATAATTTCTTCATTTCTATAATGGTAACTCCATTATTTTTATTATTATGATTCATCTTTTTTTTCATGTGTTTTATTCCATTCATCTTTATTTAATATTTTGCTTGTAATAACTTAATTATTTTATAATTTGTTATATTACATATCAATATATAATTGTAGTATGAGTTATATATTATATAGAATTTAATCTTATAAATATGTTATAGGATTAAATGGATCATCAAGATGAGAAAATGGTTCATATGATCATTGATTATACAATTTGATTTTATGACGTTTATCAATATTTTATTTTTATTTTAAGATATTTTAGAGTATTTTAAATGTTAAATATTTTGTGTTTAATTATTTATGTTTTTTTATGAATTAACAATTTTTTTTGGTGAAATATTTTTTTTATAAAATTTATTTAGCATGATTGTTATAATATTTTAAGGATAAAAAGGTAAACTAGTTTTAAAACCCCTCCCCTTCCCCTGTGAACCAAACATATATTTGAATAAAACTTCTCTCTCCCCTCCCCCTCTTATGAACCAAACATACATTTAATTAAAATACATCCCCTCACCTCCCCTCCCCTCCCCTTTATTAAAATCTATTCCCTCCCCTCCCCTCCGTTGAACCAAACGGACCCTTATGGAAGTTTGGAGTAGAAAATGAGTAAACTGCTCTGTTTTGATGATTGTTAAAATTTTGCTTATTGATCAAATCAAAGTAATTCAACTTAATACTAGGGTTGTGAGTTGTGTCTTCAATGATAATCCAAGAGGTGGAAAGGGTTATGAGTAGTAGAAAGTGAAATTTAAGGATCAAACTTTACCATTCACATATATATTATTTTAGTGAGTCTTGGAAAAAGAGAAAGAGTAAATTACCTGGAGATGAAGATTTATAAAATTATTGAAGGGAAGACTCAGTTTGAGGCGGGTGTTTTTACTATGGATAATAGTACTAGTGAGATAACAGTTATAAATACCTATGATTATCATTTGACTCGTAATAAGGTAAAAAAGAAGATTTAACCACCTCAAAGATAATGTTATGCAGACCTTGGTATTTATGTTTTGGATGTGGATAAAGGATTGCAAAACTTAGAAACATGGACTTTCAGGGAGGCATTCGAAAGCAAAGAGGGTCAAATATGATTCAAGAACCATATTTCTTGGCTTGTTAGAATACTGAAGCAACAAAAGGTGATTGGAAGAAAATAGATGCAAGTGAAAAGATCAAGGTTTAAGCGTGGCTCGAGCTTGATCAATGTTGTTGAATAGTTATTTCAACATGGTAGAGAGTAGAAAAACGATTGATAGATACATTACCATCACCACAGTTTAAAGTTAAGATGAAGAATTGTAGAAGTATGCTTTAAAACCTTAAGTGATGAAGAGAAGAAAATCATAGTTGCAGAAAGTTGGAAAAAGTTCAACCAAGAACATCAGAGTCACGTGTAGGCGGACCCGCAGAGCGGTCGACAACAGAGCCACAGTTGACGCACTGGTGGTCTGTGGTGCGGTGACAGCCGACTAGTGTTCAGTCAGTAGTAATAGGCAGATCATGTCTAAGTGGCAGGTGGTCCTCAGATATCAAGTCTTGTTCAGGCAATTCACGGGTATCAATAATTGGTTATTTCGATTCGTAGATATGTTAGTTAATGAGACATGTTTTGCACCTATTATAAATTTATTGGTTTGAGTATATATATATATATATATATATATATATATATATATATATATATATATATATATATATATATATATATATATATATATATATATATATATATATATATATATATATATATATATATATATATATATATATATATATATATATATATATATATATATATATATATATATATATATATATATATATATATATATATATATATATATATATATATATATATATATATATATATATATATATATATATATATATATATATATATATATATATATATATATATATATATATATATATATATATATATATATATATATATATATATATATATATATATATATATATTAAAAGTTTTAAAGAAAGAGGGAAAATGTGGCAAATTTAAAGGATTAGGAAACCTAGAGATATAAGGGTAGAAATTTCTTTGTTTCTATTTTTGGAGAAAATTTTGAAGGTATCTAAAGAAATTGAAAAACACATTTAAATATATTGGATTTGTGTGATTAACATCTTAAAAACGTTGATGACTATTTTCTTATAGCTCTTTTATAATTTTTTATAATAATTATTAGAAGTATAATGAATCTGAAAGATGCACTATTCTTTAGAATAAACTAATTTGATCGAATTGAATAAATATTTTTATTTATTTATATTTTTATCTTTTATCTTTCTCTTCTCTTGCGGATTTTATCGCTTTTTATTAGATATTTTGTCTTTTTATATGTGGAAAAAAATGATCTTTACTTATGAATGTTGCAAATTTATTTATGAAGTCAATATAATAAATTATAATGCATTACATTTATTTTATTTTATTTTTATAGTTTCTTGATTACCTTAAGAATATATATGATTCGACAATAATAAAGAAAAAATCAGATAAGACATTTGATATCTTGAAATTTGTTGGGGTGTTCTAGTAAAAAAATGTTAATCTACTCAAGATAGTGTAATGTGATGTTTAAGTCCACTTTTATATATATATATATATATATATATATATATATATATATATATATATATATATATATATATATATATATATATATATATATATATATATATATATATATATATATATATATATATATATATATATATATATATATATATATATATATATATATATATA